ACGAGTGTCATTGTGATTTTTTTTTTCTTTTTCTATTATTAATTAGATGATAATTGTTTATTTATGATATTTTTTTATTTTTCTCTAATTAAAAAATGCACATATTTAATTATGATTGAACTTAAGAAGATTTATGAAGTAGGCATTAAAAAAAACTATATTAAGCCACTATTTTAAGACTATAGACTTGTATGAAAAATTTATTGTTCGAAATAATACTTTAATGTGATTTTGAGGAGATTTAATGATCATAAATTTACACTATCAATAGAAACCCTTGCTATAAAAGGGTCCTTGAATTTTTATTCCCTAGAGTTTATCCTACTTTGCTTTAACCTAATTTCATTGGTTTAGGCCACAAATGAAACTTTCTTTTTTAGTCCTGTATTTTAGTTTGGGATCTCAGCTCTTTACTTTCTTTTAACTACTTACAATTAAGGTAATAGTGGTTGCTCAAAACACACAAAAAAATTTCCTTCTTCCCTATGACAATAAAGACAAAATGTCAATTGTCATGAGGAGTCTCTTTAGGATTCTTGAAATAGGACTTAATAATAAGAAATAGAGATGTCAATTGTGCTGGTTCGGTTGGGCCCGGCCCGTTTAAATTGGGCTTAAGCGTGTCTCGTGTTGTGCTTGGGTCTGGCACATTTAATTTTTATGCCGTCAAGCCCGGCTCACAGCCTATATATTTATGGGTCGTGCCCTTAACGTGTTTGGGTCGTGCTCATACTTTTATCGTACTCTTAACGTGTCTTTGTCGTACCAAATAGCATACTTACAAAAGAAATAAGCTTTTAACATAATGAAAACATTAAAGTTTTAACAAAAGAAAGCATATCATTAATTAAAAATTATTTCTTAATTATTATTTTTACTTTTATTAAAAATTATTAATAAAACAAATAATGAAATTAGTTTTATACTCTATCTTCATTAATTGGGCCTTTATTGTGCTTTTAACGTGCTCGTGCTCGTGTCATGCTCTTATCGTGTCGTGACTTAGAGTGCATCGTACCTAAAAATTGTGTTAAGTCCAACTTATTTAATAAACGAGATGGGTTAGACCCATTTAATAATCATATCGTGTCGTGTTCACTTTTGAACGTGTTGTATTCGTGTCGACCATTTTGACATCTTTAGTAAGAAAATACTATTCTAGAGCCATTCTTTGTGAATTAATTGAAGGGCAAATTGGAACTTTGAACTTCCTTGGTTATGAGGTTAGGTAAGCCTAAATACCAATACATGAGTGCTCAAAATACGCAAGGAATCTTATTTTTCATCCGTACAAAATTTAATTATGATTGTAGCAAGTTCTTTCGTTCTGATTCTCAAAAAAAAAAAAATACATTTCTTTAGTTTTAAAATGTAAAAAAAAAAAAAAAAAACTGACACATGAATAATATCATATTCATTCAGCAAAAAAAAAAAGAAATAATATCATATTCTCTTAAAATATATAGTCCAAACCCAACCCTCAGTATCCCACCCAATCACTTTTGACTGGTAAAGATTCTGTTCCTTTCCAAATGTTTTATTTATTTTCCTTATCTTTTGCATGAGAAAAATAATAAAGGAGTTGCCTTTGTACCTTTGAGCTGACCGAGATTTTATTTATTTTATTATTATTATTATTCTTTTTCTAATCAAGCTGAGCAAGATTAGTCATGTACATCTATTCCAAGCTAGGAACGGAATGAATTTTAATTGTCAAAGCTTGCAAGTTGAAAACTAATTGCCTCGTTCATTTCACCAATTCAAATTTTCAATTTTAAGTTTTTACAGTAAAAAGCTTTTAAAAAATATCACATCAACTTTTTCTACTACAGTGAAAAGCTCTCAGAAAATGTAACATCTCAGCTCGAATTAAAAACTCGAATCCGCGAAGTGAACGAGGCGGTTGTCGTGTCTTTTTTTTTTTCTAATTATTTCTTTTTAAAACTCGGGATGTCACAATTTTAACATTATACTTTGTGGTGAAATCAAGTATTAAACTATGCCTACAATTACATATTTTTTAAATATTTTTTTACTATTGATCTACTGACCGTGATAAGACATGTTTCTGAATATTAATATCAAATTTTAATATTATAAAGGCTAAAACTAATAAAATTCATTCATGTTTTTACAATCAAGAAATATACAGTAAATAATTCTCATAAACGGTCACATCTAATTTTTTTGTTACAGTAAAAAATTTTCATATAAAATCACATTTCAACTCGACTTAAAAACTCGAATCACCCGTAATAATTCCCTTTTTTCACTTTAGATTTTTTTTTTCTTTTTTAATAGAGTTTCACTTTAAATTTTTACGTAGGTATAGAAGAGCTAATAGCTTGATCTTTTGATCCCATAGATTTCCCATCAATTATTTTGTCCTTGTTTAGATCAATTGCAAAGGTGTTAAAAGGTAATAAGCATTTTTCATAAAAAACAAAAAACAAAACAAAACAAAACAAATCAAGAAAAAAAGGTTATAAGCATATTTGAAGTTGTCATCTATATCCTTAACACGACTTCTAAAAGGAGAGATTTTATGTTAGCAATAATGTATATGGAGATTTTTTCACTCCTTAATCAATGGCTTAAAGTAAATTAACTGAATGCAGCCAAAAAGAAAATTGATTTTCTGATTGTAGTTCTCCATATAACTTTTTCTCTTTTCTTTTTGGGGTTTTATGTAATAATGCGTTTTGTTACTTTTATTTAATTCCTTTCACTTGTATGTTCACTCAATTTTCTAGAAACATCATAAATGATGCAATGATACGCATATAATTAATTTTGACCTAATACCATGGAAAAAGTGAGAAATGATGCTGGGATTGAGTTGGATAATTCAATATCATCTCGATGTAGTCATATTATTATCCCATTTAATTCGTTGATTCGAGTTGAGATATGATTTTATGTGAGAGTTTTTTACTGTAGTAAAAAAATTAAATGTGATTATTTCTGATAATTTTTTACTGTAATAAAACTTGAATTTTAAACTTAAATCGGTGAAATGAACGGAACCTAAGATTTAAATAATATAAAACGCGAACATACATTAAATGCAGAACTAACATCTACACACAGGATTTTTGTTTTCACTTTCCTTCCTATTCTTAAGTTCTTAACTCTAAAGAAATGGAATGTTGAGGAGCACAATTGAATGACAATATTCCCAATTAACTTGGATGTAGATAATTAGTTACATCTATTAAACTACACAAAACTATAGATGCAAATCCTCTAACCCTTTGATATCATATATAAAATTATAATTTTACTATGTTAAGTGTTAACTTTTTGTTATTACTTGATATCATATAAAATTGATGGGAAAAGAAACCACTTAACAGTGACATGAGGGAGAAAGGCAACTGTTTAACAACAACTTCAATTAACTGAAAAAAAAAAAGGATACATAGAAAATGGAGTGAGATGAAAGGTTTTTCTTTTTCTTATTATTTCATGATAATTTTTTAATAAGATACACCGAAAAGATGCTATATTTCTATTTTGTTATTTTGAACCGTTAGATTTTGATCAGATTATATTATTTTTGTATACATTATATTTGGACTAATATGATGGGATTGATCTGTTTAACGAGCGTAAATAAACCTTTTTTTATATACTCGTAAAATTCATCATTGACTTTTTATTTAGACTCTAAGACCTCAACGAAAATGTAAGCATAGAGTTGAAAGTAGAATTATCACGGAACTAAACTCATAACCATAAAAACAAAAAATTATCACCGTTTAAAACTATATTGGCATGCTTATTTATGAGGATTGGGGGATGGTATTAGAGAATGGTTTAAAACTATATGTTTATTTTACCGATTCGAATTTAGAATTCGAATTTTGTTAAAATAAAAAGCTCTCAGAAACAATCACATCTAACTTTTTTACTACAGTAAAAAGCTCTAACATAAAGTCACATCTCAACTCGAATTAAAAACTCGAATCAGCGAACTAAACGTGTTGACATGCTTATTTATGAGGATTGGAGAATGGTATTAGAGAATGGTAAAGAATCCATGTTTACCTTTTTTTTATCATTGAACTGGAATAGGTTCCACAAAAATTTAAGATTGAACAATAAGATTGGCAAACTCATTTTTCATTTGAATTGGGACCCAATCCTAATAGTAATATTAAATTACTATTATACCTTTAATTTACTCATAAATGTTATAAATAAAAATACAATGATATTATTATAGTATTTTATATTAACCCTAATTTCGTCAACTCCAACATGATAAAATTTATTTCCAATTTGACATTCAATGTTTTATTTAGTTTATTCAAATTTTGACAATCTATTTTTGCTTTTCATATAAAATGAGTTACACAACTTACATGTATTATTGCTATTCAAATAGATTGAAGTAAACACATGAATGACATTTATGATCACGATTCTTACTCTGAATGTTATTCAATTTGATTCATGCCAACTCTATGAGGTATGTGTAAATATGCTATAAGGTGTTATTCATTTTATCAATTTAAGTTTTACTACAATTAAAAGCTTTTACAAAAAGTTACATATATTTTTTTCTGTTACAGTGAAAAACTCTCACATAAAATCACATTTTAACTTAAATCTGTGAACTGAACGAGTCGACTCCCAAACCTAACCCTACACAAAAACAGGGGTAAAATGGTAATCTAGTAGTTGTAAGAAAAACCACAGTTATATCCCACCCCTCTCTCTCTCTCTCTCTTACTGTTTGCTGTGTTTCGCAAGCGACATGTAAAAAGAGGATTAAAGCTGTCCCCACTGTGTTTTCCCACGGTTAAATTTACCTTACAACATCCAAAAACCAGGCATCATCGTCCACCTTTTGTTTTTCACTTTTTCTTTTATTTATTTATTAATCATTTGCCTTTTTCTTTTTTGTTTTTTTTTACCAAAGCTGATTACTTGGGACCAACAAAAACAAAACAATAGTAAAAAAAGAGAGAGAAATAAACTAAAAACAAAAAATTTAAAATATGCGATAATAAAATGGAAACGAACAAAGGGAGACGAAGAAAAGGTCACTCTTTCTCCCTCTCTCTCCTTGTGGTGGTTAAGCAGTGTAGAGAGCTGAGCTTTGCTATATAGAATAATATAGTTGGAAGATAAAAATGATATATATATATATATAGAGAGAGAGAGAGAGGGAGAGAGAATGCCCAGATAAAAGCTAACTTGAGTTAGTCTTAGAATTGGTAAGAAAGCGTTTCAGAGATAAGAAGAAGAGAAGGGAAAATTGCCCAAGTGAAAGAGAGGCCAAAAAAAGGAAGAGAGAGAAAGTGAGAGAGAGAGAGAGAGAGAGAGAGAGAGAGAGAGAGAGAGAGAGAGAGAGAGAGAGAGAGAGAGAGAGATGGTGGGCTCAGGAGCATCAGATAGGAGCAAAGAAGCTGTTGGGATGATGGCCCTTCATGAGGCCCTCAGAAGCGTCTGTCTCAACACAGACTGGACTTACTCTGTCTTCTGGACCATCCGTCCTCGCCCGTATATATCTCTCTCTCTCTCATCTTATTTTCTCTCTCTAACTTTCATTTTTGAGCTGTTTCCTTAATGGGTTTTGTTGCCTTTTTCATTTTCTTGGTGTTTGCAGAAGAGTCAGAGGCGGTAATGGGTGCAAGGTTGGAGACGACAACGGCAGCTTGTAAGCAGTCAAACTCAAACTTAGTTAAATTTATTATTAGTTCTTTTATTATGTTTTTTTGTTTTCTCTTAAGTATGACATTTTGTTTGTTTGTTTTGGTTTGAGGATGTTGATGTGGGAAGATGGGTTTTGCCGAGGAAGAGTTTCAGAGTGTTTGGAAGACATTGAAGGAGAAGATCCTGTCAGAAAAGCCTTCAGCAAGATGTCCATTCAGTTGTATCAAAAAAAAAAAAAAAACTGATTTGATTATTGATTAATTGGAGTTAACAGGTTAATGGGAAAGGTTGCATCTGATAAGTGCCACAAATGGGTCTTCAAAGAACCTACAGAATGTGAACCAAACATCTCCAACTACTGGCAAAGCTCTTTTGATGCTGTAATGTAGACAAAAAACCCCCACACATTTAATCTGAATTTACTTCTAGTTGGCAATATGGGTCTTTTATTGGTTTTTTTTTTTTTTTTTTTTTTGAAAATGGAACTTTTTTTTTTTTTTTTTTCTGAAAATGGAACTTTTTTTTTTTTTTTTTCACTTGCACATAATTTGGGTTTTGTTTGTGATGTTTTGTTGGTTAGATGGTATTTTTTTGCTTTGTTTGTATTTATATATTAATGGTTTGATTGTGACTTTCCTTTCTTGATGCTTTTAATTGCAGCTTCCTCCTGAATGGACTGATCAGTTTGAGTCAGGCATCCAGGTCAGAACAGAACTCTTGTCATTTAAAAAAAAAAAATTTCCCTTCTTCGCCGTTGATCTTGTGATATTTAAGGATCTAAACTTATATTGAAGTACTAAATCAAACAATTTCTTTTTTTTTTCTTTTTTTTAACCAGACAATAGCTGTAATTCAGGCTGGCCATGGTCTTCTTCAATTAGGCTCTTGCAAGATTGTGAGTCATTTTTATTTTTATTCTTTTTAGGATTTGAGTGTTTATATTTGTATTTTGTCAATTGTTTAGTAACTTTGATGCTTATTATGCACTACCCTTTAGATACCGGAAGACCTTCATTTTGTGCTGAGAATGAGGCATACTTTTGAATCACTCGGATACCAATCCGGTTTCTACCTTTCCCAGCTGTTTTCTTCAAACAGAAACACATCCTCTTCCACTTCAATCCCTTCGAAACAATCCGCCGTCCCGATCCGCTCTCCGCCTCTCTTCAATTGGGCGCAAAGGCCACTCCACTCCCCAAACTCAATGCTTCCCTCACCCAATTTTCAAACCTCACCAAGAGTTGGCTTCCCACAACCCAAAGACGAGACACACATGTTCCTCCTCCCCCACGCCTCCGAGACCACCCGAATCGAGGATGTGATGGGGGACCAGCACGAGGGCGACATCAAATGGCCCAACGGCCTGTCCTTCTTCAATGCTCTCACGGGAAGGACCGATGATGCTAAGCTTCTGTTCAACCCCGATAACTTGGGAAATAAGCCGGAGAATCAAAACCACCATCCCCTCATCCCAAGCCCGAATTCAGACGCTCCAAGCATGCACAATGCCGCTCACGGAAATCCTAATGAGTTCTTGAGCTTGGATAGCCATACAGGAGAGGGTAGTAGGAAAATGGAGAATAATAAGTTCAAGAGGAGCTTTACTTTGCCTGCTCGAATGGCTTCGTCCTCATCTTCGACTTCAGTTGATCACCATCAGCACCAGCAGGCGGAGTACAGGAATTCCGAAGGCGGGATGTACACCGATGTCATGGACACCTTCTTGGAGTGACATTGGGATTTTAGGGCTTGTATTAGTAGGGCAAAGGGTTGGGAACTTGTTGTATCTAGGCAAAAGATTTTCAGTTCCTTTGCTACTCATATAGTCATAGGTTCTGATCTGATAGTTTTTTGTGATTTGCTTTTATGCTCTCAATATCTTGTGTTTTGGTTCCTCCAGTTTCCTAGACTTTAAATGTTGATTAGTTGTAGTTCATCCAAAAGACAAGTTTTTCTTCATATTTCTTTTGCTAAAATGCCACTAAAAAAATTGACAAAGTTGAAGGTAGTGCAATGGGAGGAATTGATTGAGTTGGACTTGGAGATGACAATTAAACTCATACAACAACTTGCAATTGGATTGTGTACAGCAATTAAGCCTCGTTCATTTCACCGATTTGAGTCTTCAGTATTAAATTTTTACAGTAAAAAGTTTTTAAAAAATGTCACATCAAAATGTTTTGTTACAGTGAAAAGCTCTCAGAAAATATCACATCTGAGCTTGAATTGAAAATTTGAATCCGCGAAGTGAACGAGGCTTGAAACTTTTATATCAATTCAATTGTATTTAAAGCTTTTTCTAGCAAAAAAAAAAAAAAAAAAAATTGTCTTTATAGTTTAATCAATTCAACTAATTTTCTTAATTGAGCATAATGTGTTTTGTTCAGTTTTTAAATGCCTGGCCATATCTATTCATCATGCTTTTATAAGTGTGGGATTAAATTACAAATTGACAATATATAATTCGTTTATATCAAAAAGCGATAAAAAAATAAAAAAAATATTTATTTTTTTAGGTAGTGACATTGCTACCTTTAAGGACGAATGGAACTTTCATTTGCTTTTAACTTTCACAATTATTGATACAACAGATGAACAGTGATTCGTTGGAAAAAAAAAAGGAAAAAACAAAAAGAAGAAAAAATTACAGATTTTGCCCATTAAGGCCCGTTTAGTTCGCAGATTTGAGTTTTTAATTTGAGTTGAGATATGATTTTATGTGAGAACTTTTTACTGTAGCAAAAAAGTTAGATGTGACTGTTTCTGAGAGCTTTTTACTGTAACAAAACTCGAATTTTAAACTCGTATCAGTGAAGTGAACGGGATTGCTTTGGCCTTTTAAGATTTTGTCATTTTGACTACGCACTACCCCTTTCACTCCTTCCTCACACACTACTTTAAGAGGTTGTTTGGTTGGAGGATTTGTTCCCTGATTCGAATCATGGTTCGTGGTTCGCTACAATATTTTTTCTCACAAAAAATATACGTAAATCGAAAATAGTTCTAATCACATGGTTCTAATCCATGAACCAAACGTCTCCTAAGAGTATGTTTGGTAGGAAAGAGGAAAAATGGAAATGTAGGTTGTTTGGTAGGAGAGAAAAGAGAAAGAAAGAGAAAATTAAGTGAAAAATAATACATGTGGGTCCTATCATTTTTTTTCTTTCCACAAAACTACAATTTTCTCCATCAACATCCAAGCAAAAAATTTAAGGGTATAAAAGTAATTTACGAGTAAGATTTTTTCTTTCCTCCCAATTTAACTTCCAATACCAAACAAGTGAAGGTAAGCTCATTTTCTTTCCATCTTCTCATACCAAATAATATAAAAGAAAATTAATTTTCTTTCTATCATTGCTATTTTTCATCACTTCTATATTTTCTTTCTATCTTATTTTCTTTCTTTCCTACCAAAAATGAGATTTTAAGTGGGTACTATTTGATATTATTTTGAACTACCAGTTTTATATATTTTATTTTCATTTTGATGAAAACTAACGTTTTGCTGATGGTGGGTACTTTTTGATATTATTTTGAATCTACCAGTCATATATTTTTTATTTGAAGTCATTTTGACCGTAACTAATTTTTAGAAACATGCATTATAATAAGGCTCTCTCTACAGTGAAACCCCTTTTAAGACCCACTGGTAGAACACTTTGTTTTGACCGTTATATTAGTTTTCAATAGTTAGATTTATAAAGAGAACAGTTATGTACGGCGCGCTATAAATTTTTAATATAAATTTACGCAAATTTAACCGTTAAAAAATTAATCGAGTGATTAAAATAAAATATTCCGTCAATAAGTTTTTTTAAGGAGTCTCACCTTATAATAGAGCATTCTTAATTCTTAAAAGTTCTTAAATATTTGTTTGTATTTTATCAGAATGTGGTGTTGTTAATTAGGTTATCCTCTACTCTGACGTTTTAACGAGAGTGATCAAAAGAAGCTTGGTGTCATCGTTGAAGGTAATGTTTTAATTACTCTACTTTTGAAGAGTAATGAGGAAAAATAATTAAATATAGGATTCTTGAAAAAAAAAAATACGGATCTAAAAATGAAATCTAGAAAAAATATCGGTGAACATTCACTATTACTTTTGTTTTCTTTATTTTTTTCATTTTCTTATAGGATTATTCTCATTAGTGCTTTCTGAATTTTAAGGTCAATTTCAGTTTGTCTTCTAAACTTTAAAAACTCTCACTTTACTCTCTGAACTTTAAATTATTCTCACTTAACCCATTTTGTTGTAATTTCTGTTAAAATCAGACGGAAAAATAGGGGATTAAGTGTGGTCATATGGTTTTACTTTTTAACATAAATTCAAACAGAAAGACCACATGACTGCGTTATTCTCTTTTTTTCTATCTGTTTTAACAGAAATTACTATAGAAGGGATTAAGTGAAAACAATTCAAAATTCAAGAAGTAAAATGAGAGTTTTTAAAGTTTAAGAGGCAAACTGAGAATGATCTTAAAATTCAAGGGTATCAGTGATAATAATTATTTCTTATATTTATGATCTTTTATTCCAGTGAATGCATTTATTATGTGTAAAAGTAACTCTTGTTAAAGCATAGGTTAAGAAATTTCATAGTTTTGCTAAATTCAAAAATATTGGTTTCTTATATAAAAGAAGGTAAATAAGTGATTAGTTGGTGTCGATTAGTGGTTAACCATGTCAAATAGTGATCAACTAAATTAATCACCAATTATGAAACATCAATTAGTATTTTCTCACTAAATATTATTGCCTTACTCCACAAATTATCAATAAATGATATACTCAATATCAATTATTGATTTACCACTAATTTTCCCCCTTTTTTTCTCTCTTTTTGCTAGGCCAAGATATGACAATTAGAAAACAGTGGCCTCACGTTGGATCCAGTAGAAGAGAAATACCGACCTTACCACATCTCGTAGGTGAGATTTGCACATAGAGCTAAAAGTTTAAGCCGCCTAGTCTGACGACCCTAATAGGATTCTAACCTCAGCCTAGCTCAAGTTAGACACTGAAAAAGGAGTTGGTCGGGACTATGCCAATAGTAACAGGCTTTAGATCGGCCGGTTTTGTCTAGCTCAAATTTACAGCTCTACATGTACCTAAATGCTATGACATTGGTGCAAGAGACGAGACAACTTCCCCCACACTAGTGATCGACGTCTCAACGTCAACATTGAGGATGTGTTTGGTAAGATGAATGGATTGGTGGAAGGATAAGTTTGGAAGGATTGAAGGGTGAAAGGTTAAATTTAGAGTCCGTTTGGTTCATGGATTAGAATGATGTGATTATAACCATTTTTTATTTACGTGTATTTTTTATGAGAGAAAATACTGTAGCGAACCACGAATCATGATTAAATCAGGCAACGAATTCTTCTACCAAACATCACCTTAACCTCGTTTGGTAGGATGGAAAGAGAGGAGGAGCAGAAAAGCCAAAATCAATCCTTCCTAACTTGGACGGATTGGAAGCCATTAAAACTTTTTGAAATTACTTTTCTGACCTCGCACTCAACTCAAAGAAGTTACAATTCACGAAATTTTTTTTTTTTTTTTCAATTTGTCTTTTCTTATCATTTCACTTTTACGTATAACAGTATAATTGCATATCAGATATGAATTATATTGTGTATAATATACCTAATGGATACTTTTTTATATAACAAATATATACATTTTGATTCAGCAAAAAATATATTTACATTTTGTATTATAAACAGTAATATTGTATATAAATTTTTATCTTTCAAGTTGAAAGCCTATGTAATACGTTTCTAAGCATAGTAAATATAGTTAATGATCATTACGGGTAATATAGTACTTTTATAAATCAAACTAATCTTCTCATACTTCTTCTTTTTTAATACTAAACAAGAGAGAATGATAATAATAATTATTCATTCTTGTCATATCAAATAATTTTGAGAAAAATTATAATATATCGGACGCGTTTGGAATTCATTCTAAAATAATTTTATTTTTTATATGAAAATAAAAATAAAAACGTTTTCAATCTCAAACAGAAATTATTTTTGAAAATCCATTTGGTAGTTTTATCAAGAGATTATTTTCAGTATAAAAAACTCATTAATGTCTCTCTTTCTCTCTCTTTTTGTTCGAGAGAGGAGAAAATGAAAACGAAAAATGAAAAACGACTAAAAGTCATTTTTCATTTCTCTCTCATTTTACACTAAACTAAAAAATCATTTTTATTTCCGTTTTTTATCTTTATTGCGCTAAACACAATTTTAAAAATGTTTTTATTTTTATTTTTTTGAAAAACGTAAAAAATAAAAAGGAGATGAATTCTAAACATGACCATCATTTCCTTCTCACTCCACTTTTCTCATATTCTAACCATTATTCTATCAATCCATCCCTCTATCAAACATGATCGTGAAGAGGAAGACGGAAAGGAGAAAGCAGCTGGTGGATAGTGAGAGGGAAAAGAAGGGAAGAAGACCATGGGGAGTTGGGAAACTATAAGGGGAAAGTGGCCATTAAAAAAAAAACTAAAAAACAAAGGACATTGTTTAATTTGAGTGGCCAAAAACTTCCACCCTCTGCAATTTCTCTTTATTTTCTATTTTTAATGGAATGCACCTATTTATTCTTTTCTTAGAAAATCAAAACTAAGTGAAGATAAATGTCAAAAAAATGTTACGTAGGAATGTTAAAATATGAATTCCTTTATTTCAGGCCCGTTTAGTTCGTTGGTTCGAGTTTTTAATTCGAATTGAAATATAATTTTATGTGAGATTTTTACTATAGTAAAAAAATTAGATGTGATTGTTTTTTAGAGCTTTTTACTATAACAAAACTCAAATTCTAAACTCAAATCAATAAAATAAAAATATATCTACTTATGTAATATTTAAGCCGGCAAAATTATTAGTTTGCTGGCTAGCAAACGTATTGATAGTGGTGCGTCATGACCACATGATAATGGAAAAACCTAAAAAGAAGTTTAAATTGATAGTATCAGTTATTTACGGGATAATTTCAAAATCTTTCTCTGAATTTAGCATTTTTTATGGATTTATTTGTTATTTTTTCAGAAATTATAAAAGAATAAATTTGAATTTATGTTACAAATTTGTCCTCGAACAGATTAAATTGAGAAAAATTCATGTAAAATACGAAGTCCACCTCAGGCTAGCCACATTTTTCCCGATAATAAAAATCTCTTAAGTTATTTTTGTAAAATTTTTCAACAATGAAGAACGCTGAAGGTGAGCTTCTTTTCGACAGAAAATTGTAAAAATTGACCCTTAAACACATCATTTTAGAGTTCTACTCTTTTAGTGTGATAGAATATTCTTTTGACAATAATATGTCAAATTATATATAGTAATCTGTCAAATTAAGCCCGCTGCCAGTGATTGAAGACCCACCGTCGGTGACCGAAGACTCACAGTTAGCGTAATTTGTCAAATTATAGATAATAATCTGTCAAATTACTTACTCTAAAGGGGTAAAATTCAATAGGCTAATGTTGAGACCCAAAAATCCTTAATAGTACCATTTTAAGGGGTAATTGTCAAAATTATTATTATTATTTTTTTTACATAAAATTCACAATAGAGGCTAAAAGTGATAAATCGATCTTTGACTACAATGTGTATGAGGTTGCATGCATGCACTTGTGTGGTTCAACTTGAAATACGGACCAAATATAAAAATGGTACTCTTAGTTTATTTTTTAAACTTACATTTATCCCTGATAAATTATGCATTATAAATAATATATTGAGAAATTAGCAAATACTTTTTCAGTAAATATCTAACAACTTGAAATAGGGACCAAATATGTATCAAAAAAGAAATATAGAGGTTAATATACAGGAGTGAATCTGCCAATTTAATTTACTTAAAGTTTTTTCAACAACTGAGCAGCTAATTGAGAAAAATGAAAAAAATAAAAATAAAAGGGGCCCATTTCTAATTTTACAAAATTTAGGATGTTATTAAAACAATACTTAAAAAGAGAAAAAAGAAATAGTTTTCTAACATAACCCTTTTGTATTTTTGATAAAATGAAAGAGGCCCTTTGTAAAAATGATTCAATATGAAAGTTTTATTAGTATAATAATTTTTTTAAAATTTTTATTTGTAAACTGACTACAAAACAACTAGGAACGACTAGGTGGTCGTTCTTTATAAAAAAATAAAAAAAATCATTTTACTAATTTTATTTTATCAGATAATCATTTTAATTAATTTCTCAAAATGTGGAAAGAACCTAAGGAAAATAAAATTGAAATATAAATTTATCAAACATAATAATAACGAGAAGGTGATCATTCATAATAATAACAAGAAAATACTCATATATTGCGAATTAATCAACACTCAAAATTATCATATATGTTTCTTATTCTTCCTCATCATATATCTGATTTCAACATTTGAAGCTTTTTTTTTTTTTTTTTTTTTTTTTTTTCCATTCTTCTTGGAAGACCATTCAAAAAGAGATATAGTCCAACAAGCAAAAATAAACTTATATAATCACTATGTCCAGAAAGCTAAATATAAATAGAGATATTTACATTTTTATACCCTATATTTTAGATTTATTCAAAATCTATACTTTTAATTTTTAATCTCATTAAATGTATATTTTTAAATTAGATTTAATATACAAATCAATCGCTTATCTCGATCAATAATTAATTTGACTTTTAAAATGACCAAACTATCCTTAATAAAAAGAGAGAAAATAAAATTAAAACTTTCTAATATTACAAAAATAAAAATTAAAAACACAAAAATCCCATTTTAATGATATTTTGGATCTTAAAAGGTCACAACCATAAGTTTAAAGTTTCTTTTTAGTTTTTTTTTTATTTTTATTTAAGGGTACTTTAAGTATTTTATGCTTAAAATTGATAATTGACCGTAAAAATGTATAAATTTAAATATCAAATCTAATTTAAATATATATAATATCAAAAACTGAAAGTATAATTCTTTAATAAACTCAAAACACATTGTATAAAAATGTAAATATCTCATATAAATAACCACCAAAACCATCAACAAAAAAATAAAATAAAATAAAAATCACCGTAAATTCACATTCCCTCTCGAAACTCCATCTTTCCTTGACGGTTCAATTGCATGGCAAATTCACATTCCCTCTCGAAACTCCATCTTTCCTTGACGGTTCAATTGCATGGCAAATTCACATTCCCTCTCGAAACTCCATCTTTCCTTGACGGTTCAATTGCATGGCAAATTCACATTCCCTCTCGAAACTCCATCTTTCCTTGACGGTTCAATTGCATGGCACTCATTGCAGGCCGTCACAAACCACCGAAAAAGTCTCCGGCCGAGCCGCCATCGCCGCCGCTTCGCTACAGCCTTCTTTTCTTGACCATTCTTCTCATTTCTCAATTCCATGACTTTCCTCCGCCGTGAGCCGTCCCGGCTCAAGGCGGGAACTGGGGCCATAAACTGCCATCTTTGTGAGGAACCATAAACACGAGCCGAAACCACCTTGCTTGATCCCGGTCCGTTCAATGTCGTTTTGCTGCCCTGACGGCAATACGACAAGGTTGATCTTCTCTCCGAGTTGTCGCTGGAGCTCGTCCTGGCGCTGCTGCTGCAGCTGCTGTTGGTGCTGTTGCTGCGGGAGGAGACGAGGGAGTAGTCCTTGCTGCTGACGCTGCTCGTGCGGCTCGTGCTGCGGGAGACGGCACGAGCGAGGGGTGAATTGGCGGCCGGGGAGCGGGACGGGAAGGCGTGGGGGAGGAGCCGGCCATTGAAGAAGAGGTGGTCGGCTGGGGAGTTTTTGTTGGGGTCGCCGGAGGGGGAGTCCGGGGTGAGGCAGCCGAACTCGAAGTCATCAGACGACGACGGCGAAGAGGAGGAGTCGTGGCTGGCCCCCGGCGTGCTAGGGAACGAGAAGGCCGCGGTGTCGCCGGAGGAGGGTTTTCTGAGGTGGGTTTCCATGGAGGAAGGTGGTGAGGGGTTATGCGGTGGTTGCATGGGAAAGTGCTTATTTGTGTTTTAATTATGATCCTAATGTGAGAGAGAGAGAGAGAGAGAGAGAGAGAGAGAGAGAGAGAGAGAGAGAGAGAGAGAGAGAATATATAGTGTCTATATATTGTGAAGTTGGAAAGTGAGCGAGGGGAATTGGGAATTGTTTATGAGAAATGGTTGTTATTACCTGCAGTGATTATTATTGTCGATATTTTAATCGAATAGAGATTAACACATAAGATTGTATTTAATTTTAGTTCATCAATAAAATTTGCTATTAAAAATATCTCGACTAGTAGAGTCAGAAAAATAAGTTGAGGAGCGGGGACGTATACTAAAATTATTGAAAATAATTGGCTTGGCTATTATAATGTGGAACAAACATAAAATTTCCTAATTTTAGGAGGCCTTTTACCCTCTTAATACATTCATAAAATTTGTTAAGAAAAATTACAAATTTCATAAGATTTCACATATGAACGAGAATTCAGTTAAGAATATATGGTATTTCTCTTTAAGAGTTGAGTTGCAAATTTATATTTGATCACTAAAATATTTAATGATCATTAACAACGATAGTGATATCAATTTTTGGTCTTTGTTTATTTATGCGAGTTATATAACGTTGTTTTATTTTTGATTATTTATGTGGTTAATTTGCATGATCTAGACCCTTACTTGTTCAATTGGGAGGAGTACCAATTATAATATCAGAAACATGACTTCGGTGGTATAAATCATTGAATCCCATTACCTTGCCAACTAAGCCTAATTTCTAACACGATTAAGAGGGTAATATTAATTAAGGGTACATATATGTATATGTATATATATATATATATATATATATATATGGATGGTGTGGGATCATGTTCTAAAATTGTGTGTTGCTTGATGTACTAGCCGAGGTACGTACTTTCTCACACATCTAGTCAAACTTTATCCCCACATTGAGGAAAATGGCCCACCCATATTCTAGCCTTTCATCAAAGTTTGTTGCTTTCGTTTTAGGTTTTATTAATCTATTCTAGATCTAGACCAGAGCAGTTCTAAATAATTTTGAAAAAACGGCCTCGTTAATTTCACCGATTTGAATTTTTAATTTTAAGTTTTTACAGTAAAAAGTTCTCAGAAAGTGTCACATCTAACTTTTTTTACTACAGTGAAAAGCTATTAGAAAATGTCACATATCAACTTAAATTGAAAACTCGAATCCGCGAAGTTAACGAGACCGTAGAATTCTCACATGACTTATGTGGGTCTTTTTTGTGGTTTGCTCAAAGAGTGTTTTTCAATCGCCATTCTTCATTATTATGTTACCACCATGTTATTCCAACAACCTTAATTCTTACGTTTGTTTCTTCATGCACATATAAATGGTGAAGACCAAAAATCTATACAACTGCAATCTAGTAATCGATTAGCAAAAAAGATCACTTGGAAACAAACTGTAAATTCAAATATTTTAAACAGATAAAAATTTTGAGAAAATACTGTAATAAAAAAAAATTAAATTGTGATTCGTAATCTATATATACCAAACGACATTAGACAAACTTTTCAAACAATATATGAGACTTCTAAATTTTCTCATTAGTATTAAAGGAAGAAAAAAAAGTGAAACTTTAAAAGATGATGGTGTTGGTCTATTACTATGATGAGTCCTAAAATCTATTGCTTAGAGAAATTGCGAAATGATTGATATGTTGTAGACTTGTAGTTGGTGGGTTTAACGATGTACTGGAGCGGCTTATTGAATTTAATTAAAGATCAAATAAAAAAAGTGTTGACCATTAATGAAACTTGAACAAATGAAGATAAATATATATACATGTATAAATTTCCTAGCGTTTTCTATTAATTAATGGAAATATTAAGTTGTGTTAGTATATAGAAGTGAGAACGTAACATGATAATTTCTAACATACATGTTTTTGTTTTTATAATTGTTAAGTTACATTAAATTATTTTCACATTACAATAAATAGCTATCATATTATATTTCCCACCCTACAAATATGGCTCTCTTAAGAGAATCATAACAAAAATCTATATATATATATATATTAATTTGCATGCTTTTTTTAATGGAAATATTAATTTGTTTGCTAGCTCTTGGTCATTTTGCTAATATATATATATATATATATATAATTAAGTGGATTGCTCATTAATCCTGTTCCACTTGCTTTTGTTATATTTTGGAGACGCAGTCCCCCAAAAATGCTGCTTTTATTAATCTTATAAATAACAAGAAAGTTTTAGAGAGAGAGAAAGAGGGAGAGAGAGAGAGATGGAGAGAGAGAGAGAGAGATAACAAGAAAGTTTTAGAGAGAGAGAGAGAGAGAGTGGTGGGTGGGTCAAGGAAAGCAAACTCGAGTAGTAGAAAATTTGGCTGTTGGGGGTCTTTTTAACAAAACCAAGCAATGATGCTAACAAACATGGCCTTTTCTTTGTGTTGTTGGAAGCTATGGCTCTACAAAAAAGGACTATAGAAAATGGTCCCATTGTGTATATATACATATATTTTGATTCATGTTTACCCCAAAAAATGGAGACAAAGTAGATGTTAGAAAAATACTTGGTCTCCCATTTGAGTTTCGTTGGTGGGCCCATGGGCCCATTTGGGCTCATGATGCATATGTGGCTTATGAACCACTTGTCAGCCAGATTTGGCCCCCTCTTTTCCCTACCTAGCATTTCATTTGTTAATTTTACCCTGCTTTGTACTCTAATTCTGCCGTATGGTGGGTCCGTTGCCTTAAATGATTGATAATTGAGGATGGGTTTATTTCACGTGAAAGGACAAGAAAGAATTAGGAATTTAAAGTGATTTTTTTTAATCTAATTATACGTGGCCGTTTAGTTCGTTAATTTGAGTTTAGATGTGATTTTATATGAAAATTTTTTATTATAATAAAAATATTAAATGTGATTATCTTTTAAAATTTTATACTGTAACAAAATTAAAATTTTAAATTTGAATCGATAAAATGAACGAGATCACATCTAAGAGGTGGTTGAACCGTTGAAGTAGCAAGGTGCTCTACCTTCTCTCACTTAGTGAGGGAAAAGTCAAAGGTTCGAGCCTCCATTTAGCCTTTAGATATCCAATTAAATGGAGATAGTCATGAGAAGTGATCCATCCACCACGGGAATCTCATCTGCTTTTTATTTCAGTAAAAAAAACATTATATAAATTCAGTAGGCCACTTAATATAGATAATAAAAAAAGCGAATGTCAATATTTATATTGGTACATTTATTTTATCGATTTGAGTTTTAAATTTTAATTTTGTTACAATAAAAAATTTTCAGAAACAGTTGCATTTAATTTTTTTACTATAGTAAAAAATTCTCACATAAAATCACATCTTAATTTAAATTATAAATTTAAATCAGTAAACTAAACAGACTCGTTATTTGTATTGATTTCGCATTGAAGAAGAATCAATGTCAAATTCATTTACATACCTTTAAATCTTTAATAAATTAATTGATCAATTAATTATTTATTTAAAGGCAGCCAAAGTGTCATTTTTTACGCCAAATTCTTGTATTATAGATCTTTGGTGGCAAATTGTAATTTTTGTATGTCTTAGAACTACACCAACAGCTGTCACTTCATAATTGAACACATTTCCACAAATAATCATTAAATTGATTATAACTCTTTTTTTTTTTTCTTGTTTTTGTTTTTGTTTGTTTTTTGAGAGGAATGATATAACTCTTTCGTTCCAATGTTTGTATTATGCATCATTTTTTTTTTTTGTATTGAATATTTTCCTCCATATATATTATTTTTCTACAGCGTCTCTGGATATGGATGTTGCACTACAGTCTACAAAAATCAAGTCATGACTCATAATTTTGTTCCATCTGTACAATAGTATCAAGGTCTGAAAATTTTGTTCATAAAATGATACATGAGCTTCATTGTTGTTGTTTTGCCCAAACTCGTTTGGTTCATGGATTCAGAATCATGGTTCAGAACCATTCTCATTTTACGTGTATTTTTTATGAGAGAAAATACTGTAGCGAGCCACAAAATATGATTCGAATCATGGCACGAATCTCCCCTCCAAACGTCCTAAGTGATTAGTAGTCAAATATTGGAGAATTATGACCTTTAAAGAAAAGGTTAATTTCAATTTGGTTTTCAAACTATGCAAATTGTCCTATTTTAATCCCAAAATTTTAAAATGTTACAAATTATACTTCTATCTATTAAATAGTTTTACACTACAGGGTAAAGCTAAAGGCTCTTTGTATTTTTGTCCCCAGTTTGTTTACGTTTTTTTTTTTTTTCAAACTATGCAAATTGTCCTATTTTAATCCCAAAATTTTAAAATGTTACAAATTATACTTCTAAGTTCTATCTATTAAATAGTTTTACATTTGGCCCTTCGTCACTACAGGGTAAAGGTAAAGGCTCTTTGTATTTTTTTCCCCCGTTTGTTTACGTTTTTTTTCTTTACAAGTGTAACCCCTGAAACCCTTTAAATTGCAATATTACCACGTATATCTAAAAGAAACCAATTACACCCCAAATTTTTAACTTTTAATTATACTCATATGTTATAAACAAAAATTCAACCATACTACTATACAATATAATTTGTGGGGCTTTAAATTTTAAGGAGTGAGTTAAATTTGATGAGGAGAATGAAAGAGATAAAATAGGTAATGAATGTGAAAAAGTGAAACAAAAACTTAAAAATTCGTAATTATGATTTTACCATGCATTCCTTTAAAAAAATTTAAAAATTCATGGCTCCACTGCAATGTTACAAAACCGCTAAAAACTCGAGGGAATCAATTAAAGGTCTGTTTGGCTCATGGATTCAGAATCATGATTAATGATTCTGATTTTTGAAATTTAAATTTTTTATAAGAGAAACATATTATAGAGAACCATGAACCATGATTCAGAATCAGAGACGAATACATGAAACAAACATCCTCTAAATGACTCTCACATACGTAGCTAATGAAAGGTATTCTCAACAACTTACAATTGAGACTAACTTGATGATGCCCAAATAGTTGTCTTCAATGTGTAAAAACTAAACTACCTTGTGTGCGTTGGGGAAATTTTCCCATGATGAATCAAAGACTGGCACGTCTTCATGAGATTGAAGAACATCGATACTAGATATCAACCTCAATTCTCAAACCACGGAAGGATTCTAATAGCATGTTTACTTACTGTAATCACAATGGACATGAATCGAAATGAGTAGGATTTAGAGTGGATATGAAATGGAGTTAGAAATCAGAGTAAGAATAAACTGTTTATTAGGTTTCAAGAATCAGAGTCAGAATCAGTTTCAATCTCATTCATTCATTTACTTACACCTAGAATCAGAATAAACTGTTATAAATTTACTTACATACTATTTTAATAGATTTTTGTGTCTCAATCATAAGGGTTGCGGAGAATCCCCTTGATTGAAACTGTAGCCTATAAATAGAATATAAAGTTCATCCTTAAGATCCATCCTTTTACCACTTTACTAAAATTCTGCTTATTCTCCATCTCACGACTATTTGCTTAACTTAGCGTTAGAATGCCTTCTATAGGTGATATCCTGGACCGAGTGGCTGAGTTAACAGAGAATGACAGAGCAGATAGAAGAGCATGATGTTAAGAAATCCTCTCTAAAATTGTGGAAATTATAGGGGGTTCGTTTAGTAAAGTTTTTAAAATAATTATTTTTAATATAAAAATAAAAATGAGATTATTTTGAGAATTATTTTGGGATCGATTTTGAAATTGTATTTGATTAGTTTTTTAAGAGATTGTTTTGAGTATAATAAAAATGTGAAATCGTGTTTGATTATAAGTATTAATTAATATATTATAACATTGTTGATAAGTACTAGAAAATGAAATCAAAAAAGGGAAAACAACTTTTAATCGTTTTCTAATTCCTTAACAAAAATCATTCTCACTGTTTTTTATTTTTGTTTTTGTTTTCAAAATATTTACTAAATAAACACAATTTACAGACCGTTTTTATTTTCGTGTCTCAAAAGACGTGCAAAAACGTTTCTAAAAATAAGAAAAAATCAATTCTAAACGCACTCATCATGTTCTTTTGAGTGTAATGTTCAAGAAAAAAAAAATTACACAGTTTTCCTCCGAACTATAATCCTTAGCACAAATTGCTCACCAAACTTCAATTTATAACCTCTGTTACTCCGAACTTTAAAACTCTTATAAATTTTTTCTTAAATTTTGTACGTAATTGAGAGCATTTTAATAGAAAGTAGCAATAAACATTGTATTTATTTCATTGGTAGTCATTTAAATTTATTTTAACCCAAATCCATCATTAAACTTAAATTTAATCCATCATTAAACTTTGATTTCTTTTTTTCCTAAAAAATCCGTCATTAACAGCCCGTTTAGTTGGAGGATTCGTTATTTAATTCGAATCATAGTTCATGATTCGCTACAGTATTTTCTCTCACAAAAAACACACGTAAATTAAAAATGATTCTAATATCATGATTCTAATCTATGAACTAAACGGACTCATCTCTTTCTTCCTTCTCTACCTACACCATCCTTCACTTCCACAGTTTTCACACTCAAAAAAAAAAAAAGAAAAGAAGATCCCAGTAAAGAGTAAAGATCGCCCAACTTTCCCTCACTCTCCCGTGGAGTTTCCCCCATTTTCTATTGATCCAAACATCCTCCCCAAAAATGGATACCAACAAAGAAGCCAACACTCCCCTCCATCCCCTCACAAAAGAATTTGAATGGCTTTGTGAGCTATCCTCACGTGACCAGCCAAAGAGACAGGAAAAATGGCTGCCGTGGGAGGTAATCAGCAGAAAGAAAAGAAAGTAAGAAAGAGAGAGAGCAAGAAGAAAAAGGGCAAATTCCATTTTCTAAGGATATCTTTATAATTGTACATTCATAACTCTTCTAAGTATAAACGAGTATCAAGTCTTATTTTCCGTTAAGAATTTAGGCTGCGTTTAATATTACTTTTCGTTCCTAAAATTAACTATTATTTGTAATAAAAACTGATTTTAATAATTGATAAATCTCTTTAAAAGTATTTTTTAAAATTTTTTTGAAGAATTTATAATTAAATTGTACAGGAATCAGCATAGTATAATTAATGAAATTTTCATAATATCCATAATACTTCTAATGAAATTTAAAATTTACAATCTTTCTAATTTAAAATTCAGACTCATAATATAATATAATATAATAATACAATAATATAATATAATGTAATAGTAATATTATAATAAATAATATCATAATTATATTAATAACTCAAATATTAGTATTTTATTATGTAATAATATGATATTATAATTATAATATGATATTATAATTATAATATGATATTATAATTATAATTATAATATTATAATTATTATTT